CTTTCCCTATATGCTCCCAGCATAAATGTTGCTTCATTTTACCAGATGTAAATATTTCTTCATGTTCTTTGTAAAGATGTATTAACAATAACGTTTCTTTATTATTCCATATGTAGGTATCTGCAATATTATATAACAAATACATTAGAGCAAAATAATATGTAATATGAAAAAGACCATGCGTTAACTTTCATTATATAAATACCTTCATTATTAGATCTTGTATCTGACACATCTGAGATATCTGATGTATCTGATATAGAACTCATTCTTACTGCACTTGTACTTGGTGCATCTGCTAACAGAATTATATTTGACAAATAAATTTATAAATATATTTACATAGAGGTGGACTCGGCGTGTTCATGCGGGTTATGGGAAAGAACGTGCCTTGAGTGTCTCGAGTGGTTGGAAGAACAGTACCGACTCGCGATATTACTACAGAGGCGCGGAATTCAATCGCTGTTTGGCAGAATCGCGGGAAACTCTAATATAGAAACTTATATGTTCATTCAGTCTTGTTTACACATACTCTGTAGGAGCAACTGTTTTGAGTAAAAATGTTCTTCATACCGAATTATTCATTTTGTAATGTTTCTTGTATTAAATTTTTGATGTCTCTTAATAAATCCATTTTTTCTTTGTGTTGTGCTTCTCTTTTTTCCGCACAAAGTTTTTTAAATTCTAATAAGGTTTGTTTTGTAGAGTGCAGTTTATCTGTAAAAGTAAATAAATATATGTATAAATATATATAAATCAAAAAATTACATTATTAATTTAGTTCAAATTTAAATTTATCTCTTAGATTTTTCTTATCTAAACTAATTATAATATCAAGGTATCAATTCTGTATTTCAGTTTTGATGAAAATGCGAAAAATTAACAACATGAGTGATTATTGATTGATTATTACTTGTAGATCTAACAATTTAGACCAATCAATACTGCTCACTTTTCCATTTTCATCATACTAAAATACAGAATTAATACGTACATGTATTAATTAGAATATATACCTTTATCCTTTTTTATCGGACTTAACTCTGTGGAACTTGCAGGTTGATCATTTTGATCAGATGAAGCAGTCGATACTGGAAATGAAAGCAGTGATAGTTCTTCCGAAGAAGAAGAATATAACATTACATCTAACAATTCTATTTTATTGCATGACGCCATGTTGCACTGTAACTGCTTCATCTTGGGAGCTGCAGTAACCGCAGTAGCAATATGGCTACCATTTATGACGTCATTGATGGAACTAGATGCTGTCGCAGCACACTGCGTGCTAATAGCGGAACAATTTTTCAGCACTGCCAGTACTGGCAGTGTATATCGGAACACACCCTAAGTCCCTCGATGTTTCAGGATGATGATTGAGTCGTATTCATCATCCTTCCTTTCAGGTGTGTCTCAGGGGATGTTACCTGTAGAAATCCCGATGGCCACGTCCACGAGAATCTCAAGTAGCTTCCAGGAATGATTCTCTATATATTATCACGCAGCAATATAAGATACATACATGACACACGAAAATTAATAAAACGCCATTATATCAATACAATTAAAATAATCTAAGCCGCATAAAGCATCCATTCGCATACGCTCTCAACACTCCTGCAAGCCACATGCCAGAAAACAGCAACGCTACCATGCGATCCACAACAATATCAAGCTCTCGTTCATAAGCGAATTTATCTATCAACAATGCATGCGTGCTTGGTCAATTTATAGGAACAAAACGATTCGCGTGACAAAATATATATTGTGCTTTATTTTGGACACGCAACTTCTAATAAATATAATAAAAAAAAACTTGCACGATTCACATACGTCGACCCAAAAGGTAAGTATAAAAAATATATATGCATGTATTACAATAGTCTTTTCCAATTCTCTCTCTCTCAATAGGTTTCACGATAAGTATAAAATATCTTTAAATATATATATATATATATATATATATATAAAATCTAATGGTAAGTATAAAATCTTAATATAATCAACGAAATATACCAATACATAAATATTCACGGTAAGTATCACAATATTCGAGAGAATAACTATAAGACATACAAATATCAGGTCATCCATGGTAAGTATTATAAATATCACGACTTTAACGTTACTCACAGCATGTCCACACACATCCCTCTCACAAATATCATACCACATTCAACGCTGTCGTTACAAAAGGTCAGTCACGCTATCTTAAAACTAACATACATATTCTGCTACGTTTTTATAATTCATAAAAGTAGTATCTTGTGTCGTAGTCAGTCAGCGCTTGGTATAATTGCTTGAAATCTGTGTTGTTAACATGTTTGACAATCAATGCTTACAACTAAATAAAATCAGTCATGCACGAGCACGCAAAATAGGGCTTTCACGCAAAGTTTTATATGGTCAGCACTGGGCAAACTCAGGAGAGTGCTTGGTGAGGAACACAATATCAGCCGCTACAACGCACCCCTGGATTCCTTCTGCTCTCCACCGGGCTGTACGCAGGAAGAATCGTCTGCTCTGGAGATGGCCTTGGAAGTCTTTTGGTCTCCGCTTGGCTGCATGTCGGCTGGATCGTCCACCCCGGAGGTATCTGCAACATCCGGTTGCAATGTCATCGCGAAGCAGCCGTACATCGGCGCTCGAATGGAAAAATTGAAAAAAATATCGCGTCGGCAGTAATCCCCACCACATTGCAATTTTGCAACGCTAATACATATTTTAAATATGTTTAATATGTTCAGTATTGCATCGACCACTTGTGTGAAAGGTTCATATAAAATGTATCTTACTGAAGGAAGCTTCATGAATTATTACGTTCCGATTCAAGATGCTGATGAAACTTCACCGTGTAAGAAAAAGAAATGTAACAAGTAAGTTTTAATTAACTTAAAGAATTTTTTATACTTTTTAAATATTTTTTACACCTTTTAAATATTTATATAAAATAATATTTTTTTACTCCCTAGCATTTTATCCGAGCTTCGTCGTGCGGTTCGTATACTCGAAAGACGATACGCCTTAACCCCGACGTCATACAAATATTTGGACATTGGAATAAACGTTGGAGCTGAATCTTGCGTGGACTTGGTTCTCGGCGATAATCGGGGCAATCAAATAATATTGCCTTTTGAAACATGGAAATCGCTGATGCAGAAACGTGGGGACATTGAACAGCTTCTACAATCGACTGAAATCCCATTGCGGGTCCGAGATTTAACATTTGAAGTGGTTAAAATATCTGATTCGAATATTATAAAAATAGGATTATCCAATAATTCCTTATATATGAAACCGCCAATTTATGTATGAATAAAAACTGTGTAATAGATATGCACAGTCTGCAAAACTTAAATCTTTCTCTCGACATACACTGCTTAAGATGTAGAAAAGTGATGAGGTAGGTTAAACGTGATACTCCAGTTAGAAAAAAAACAAAAGATATGAAATTAAAATATATATAATCGGGAGGAGTGTGCAACGTTATAGTACGCAACCGTCTACGCCCTTACGACGATCTTAACAATATGTGTTATGGCTGACGAAGAAGTTATAGTTATCGATGATGACGAGGATATCATTCTCGAAAATGGCAATTTGATGGCATTTGAGAATTTGTTGGACGATTCATCAGACGAAGACCGCGTACTTTCGGAGGATTCCGATTACAATAGTGATTGCAGTATTGATATTATTACGGACATAAAGCAACGTACTTTAAACCGAGTTGAAATAAATAGTTTAGGTGCGGTGAAAATGTGCTGTATATACTTTTATTATAAAAGTGACGTCAACGAAAAATTTTGCACAGACTGTTTTATGCGAATTTCAGACTTATTTTCGAATATTCGTGTTGTGCGAGAACATGAAAGTGCAATTTATGCACTAATCCTGGGATCGTCTTGTGCAGAATGTAGAAAACCGCTGTATCAGATAATGCTTTTTTATTATTATTATTATTTTTATTATTTATTATTATTTTTTAACACACACACACACACACACACATATTGTATTATATACACAATTATTGAATAAATATTATTATTGTTAAAATACATTTTTATTCTCTTTTAATCTTCCCTTTTCCTCTTTCTTATCCCAGTATGCAAGTATTACATTTCAGTACGTGCTGTTAGAAAGCGGCGTCAACCATTTAATTAAAATATAGATGTTACATCTCAGTACATGAGCATTATGTCGGTCACAAAGTGTCTGACAACGAGTGAGGTACGGTTAAAAAGTGAAGCGAAAAAATATTTCGAGATGTTTCGCAATAATCTGGTAAGTAGTGTTTATTGTCTTTGTGTGCGAGATTATGTGTGATGTATATTAATTATTATTATATTTCAGTTCGTGCAAATTGACGTCATCCACCGCCGATACATGCGGTGGATGAGAGGAAATTTGCGTTGGGCGCACGCCAATTTGTGGGGCGATACGCGAGGCCCGCGAGTGGGCATGCGTGCACCCTGACCAGTATAAAGATATCTTCTATTTGCGGACGCTTTTTGGGCTTGAGCCCTATGAAGAAGAGGAAAATTGGGAACCTGAAGAGGCGTGGGAAGAGGAAGAGGAAGAGGAGGATTGGGAGGAGGATTGGGAGGAAGAGCTTGCGGCCCCAAGAGGATAATGTAAGTATCTTCTTTTTTCAAGATTCGTAATATATTAGATTTATAAAAATTAAATTAATATAGTAACAAGATATGTATTTTTCTGTTTCAGATAGAGCGTCATCCTAACATATTATTATATATTATATATTATTATTATTTTTATTATTTTACACACACACACACACACACATACACACACACACACAACACACACACATACATACACACACACACACACACACACATTTTGTATTATACACAATCTTGAATAAATAATATTATTATTATATTTAAAAAAAATGTCGATTACTTCTGCGCCTCCTTCTCCCACGTCCATGCATGCCTCGCGCTGTCTCTCTCTCTCCCACATGCATGCGAACTTCATCCTTTTCCCACGCCAATGCGGTCGATATCCTTTTCCTACATGCGTGCATGCCTCGCGCTATCTCTCTCACACCGCCTTGCGAACGCCGTATCATCCGCGTACATGCTTCGCGCTATCGCTCTCTCTCCCAAGTGCATCCTTCGCGCTATCCCTCTCCCAAGTGCATGCCTCGCGCTATCTCTCTCTCTTTCTCCCAAGTGCATGCTTCGCGCTATCCCTCTCCCAAGTGCATGCCTCGCGCTATCTCTCTCACGCCGCCTTGCGAACGCCGTATCATCCACGTGCATGCTTCGCGCTATCTCTCTCCCAAGTGCATGCCTTGCGCCATCTCTCTCCAACGTGCATGCAAACGCTATCCTTGTCTTACGCTCATATGGACGCCTCGCGCTATCCTTCTCCCACGCTCATAGAATATCATTAGCGCTATCTTTCTCTTACACATTGCGGACGCCTCGCGCTATCCTTCTCCCACGCCTACTCGCGGCATCGCGTTCCCTCTTCCCCGCGAGTCCCTCACCAATCGGTTAGGACGCGGTCCCTGTCCCCCTTCTCCGCGGACCCCTCGCCTACCGGTTAGGTTAGCGGGTCCCTCTCCTATCGGTTAGGACGCGGTCCCCCTCCCCCTCTCCGCGGACCACTCGCCCACCGGTTAGGACGCGATTCCCCCGCGTGACGTCATACCCTCGCGCTGGTTTCCCCTCGCCGCTCACCCCCCCCCCTCAGAGGATCATGGCTTAGAACTCTCCTATATACACTACTGCACACAATAAAAATACACATTATCCCGATAGCGCACATTATTTTAATTCCTTTTTCTCGATAACCCACATCCCGATAGCACACAAAAATTAACGTAATTCTCGATAGCCCACATCTCTTTAGCACATATCCCGATAGCACACAAAGTAAATCGCGCCTTATCCCTATAGCGCACAAAGTAAGTTGCGCATTATCCCGATAGCGCACAAAGTAAACTGAGCAATATCCCGATAGCACACAATAAAAAAACACAATATCCCGATAGCGCACATCTCCGTGACCCATATTAAGTTGGCCCCCTCACCAACGCTAAATACAGTCGGATCTATCAAATAATTTAGTGCTAATTATGTGCTAATTGGTTGCCGTAGTCCGGATTTTGTTGCTCAAACCGTTTAACAGGAATTTACGTTCAAATTGGGGTGGAGGGGGCGGCCAGCTTGACATTAAGCCAGCCCTCCCCATAGTGAAAAAAATATTTAGAATGCTCGAATAAAAAAATCAAATACATTAGAATTTGTTGTTATTTTGTTGCTCTGAAATAACACGAAAACATTTAAAAAAAAGTATATTATTTAATTAATATCACTATACACTCAGACTCGCCGCGTCGTGCCATCCATTTGCGCGAAGTAAAAGTAACCAAAGGAATTTGTTGCGTGCATGTTTTTGATATTAAAATATTCTGTAGACAATATACTACCGAAATATATGAAAGATTAAATTTGTTGCTCGTTCTAAAGCATTGAAACTCGACACTTCGTCGCCGCGGACCCTATACGACGCGCACTATCATAACGTAAATTAACTAAAAGAATTTGTTGCGTGCATGTTTTTGGTATTAAATAATCTGTGGACAATGTACTATCGAAATATATGAGAGATTAAATTTGTTGCTCGTCTTAAAGTATTGAAAATCGACACTGAATCGCCGCGGACCCTATACGACGCGCGCTATCATAACGTAAATTAACTAAAAGAATTTGTTGCTCTCATGTTTTTGGTATTAAAATAATCTGTGGACAATATACTATCAAAATATATAAAAGACTGAATTTGTTGCTCGTCTTAAAGTATTAAAAATCGACACTTTGTCGCCGCAAACTCTATACGACGCGGTGTTATACCATATAAGTTAATTAAAAGAATTTGTTGCTCGCATGTTTTGGTATTAAAATAATCTGTGGACAATATACTATCGAAATGTATAAGAGACTGAATTTGTTGCTCGTCTTAAAGCAGTGCATGCCACGATCTGCACATTTCGGCCGATTTCCGAGAGTCAACGCCTATCGCGCCCCCCTTGCGTCTTGAGATATTCGCCAAGCAACCGTAACCAAGCGCGCGGCGCTCTGCTTCAGGTACGGTGTATCTGTACCGCAATGCGGTTCCGTACCCCCTTACTGCCAAATATCAATGTTTTAAACGCGATCTCTTTAGAATTTTTTCAAATAATTAATTCAAGAACAAAGTTTCAATACTCGATTATTAATTACATTTACGATATAATAATCCTAAAATATTATTAAATTATATTCGATAGATTAAATTTGTTAAATGTCTCGCGCGCGGGAACTCTTCCCGATATATAAATTAATAAATAATTGTGAATTTAAAGTTTTATAGTTGAAGTCCGAAATTTTTAAGCTTCGGATAAGTCGCTACGTCTAAAATTTTGAAGAGCTCTATTCTTTTTTCCGACCGCGTTTTAAGGGAAATATCACTTTGTAAATCGCAAAGTTCTTGTTGCAATTCTATATTTTGTTCCTCAATTTGCACGGTAAGAGGATTCTCGAGAAAAATTAGATCATTTTTAAACATCCCAAAATCACTGAACCGCGTATTAAATTGACTTACAAGTGAATCGATTAAGTAGAGATGCTTCTAAAAATTGCAATTTGTGCCGTGCTCTTCGAAAAGGATCTGACAAGATGGGAAGAAATATAAAGTACCTGCCTTTATATGATTTTTAAATAATAATAATTGTCTGCGGAAAGAATCAATGGCACTAAATAATTGAGAAATAATTTGATTACCTCTTTGCAGCTTTGAATTTAAGATATTTAAATGGTTAGTCAAATCAGTAATAAAAGCGAGTTCGCAAAGAAATTTTAAATTTTCCAAAAAAAATATATATTCGTCGCATTTTGCAATAGATAGTTCTTGCAAGAAACGGAAGATTTCTTTTTTTTATTGCAAAAAACTTTTCTAAACATTTTCCGGCACTGAGCCAGCGAATATAAGGAACATCGGTATAAACTGTGTTATGCTCTTTGAGCAAGTGTTGAAACTTTCGATGAGACAGAAATTTATTACCACCTTTAATAAAATTAATAATTTTTGTGACTGTCTGCATTGCAGTACACAGTTTAACAGCTTTCCCGCATAACGCTTTTTGGTGAATGATGCAATGAATAATGCGAAATTTTAAATTTTGTTGCCTGGTTAGACCGAGAAATCCATTTTGTGAGCCGGTCATTGCTTTGGCACCATCAGTTACTATAGCCGAACATTTTGTAAAGTCTACATTAAATTCTTTGAGAGTGTTTTCTACTGCTCTGAAGATATCAAGACCCGTAGTTGTGCCATGCAATGCAACTAAATCTAAAAGCTCCTCGACACATGAGAAATCGTTTTGAACGATTCGAGTAAAAATACTCAATTGGCTCACGTGTCGATTATCGGTGCTTTCATCAAGACACAATGAAAAATACGAACAAGTCGCTAACAAGGATTTTAACTTATCTTTGATAGAAGACGCAATATTATTAATTCTACGCCCTACTGTTTGAATACTAAGCGGAATGCTCGCAGCTTTGTCAACAATTAATCTATTGTCAAAGGATTTTACTGCCTCAACGAGACATTTTTTTACAAATTCGCCATCAGCGAATGGCTTGGAATGTTTCGCAATAAGAAAAGAAATAGCGTACAATGCAGCTACAGCTTTTTTATTATTATGACCGGCGTTAGAAATTAATGCATCCTGACAAATACTATCACCTTCCTGATAAACTAATTTTAATCCTTCAAGTATTTTTAATTTTTCCTGACATGCATAATTTGAATTTTCTCCGGAATGTTTGATTCTATAATGTCTTTCGAGAATGTACTTTTTTACAACAGAAGGCTCATAACTACATAAAAGACAAATTGTCCGATTGCGAACAAATGCGAAGAAAATATCCTCCCAAACCTTAAGGTACCGTTGCTCGTATCTCTGCTTACTTGAATCAGCCATCCTTCAGATTTTCGATGAAGAATTAAATATGAACAAGTCAATGAACTAACTATACTAACTTGAACTGAGCACTCTTTCGAAGTAAGACGTTATGCTGACACACGCTTTAAAACAGATAACAATCGGTTAAAACAATTGCGCAACAAATTACCAGCGCGTGCAGGACAAATTAATTTGTTCTATTTTTATAAATGTTATTTTTCCAAAATGAAATATATCAAAACAGACAGACGCTCTCGTTTGAAAGATACATCATTATCTTCATTGACGCAAATAAGTTCTTCAAATATCAAGATAGATATTCCATCCATCATCAAATCATGCGAACGGCGTAACCGTACAAAAGGACCCCGCACAAACCTTATGAAAATCCAGTCTCGGTGGATTTGGCTGAAACTTTGGAAATTTGTAGTTTACGTGATTCTGATGAAAAGTTCTAACGTCAATAACATCTGGTACATTATCAGGATTTTCTTGCGGTGGCCTATTTGCTGCATCGCAGATAGTATGAAGGAGCCTCGATGAAGGGTACCGAATGTGTTGTTCATGGCGTGCATATCCAATGAACCATAAAACACTCGCAATATGTGCACATGTACCCAAAGTTCGAGCACCGGATTTGCAAGTGCAGTAGTAACCTTGGATGGGTGGGTCGCTCTGAACATTCATCTCATCATCCATATCATGATCGTCTGTCGGTCGGTATGATATCCATAATTGGTATTTCGCTGCATTGCGAAATCGAGAGTACACTCTAATTCTTATTAAACCAGGTAGTGGTATCCTCTGTACGTCCCTTAACATTTCAAGCTGGAATTCTTCCGACTCCTCTCTTTGTAGCTTGTCCTGTATATACGATGGTGCCAAATGGATTTGTTAGATGCCAACAGTAAGATCCCTTTAGAAAATGTAAGTCCAAAATTGGAAAATCGGGAACATGTTAGACATTCAAGCGTACCCATCTCTGAGCGTTACGAGTGTTCAGATGTTCAGCCTCCACAAGTGCTTGGACAACATTCACTTCATTTGCTTTCTCCAGTAATTGACGAGCCAACTCCCCATTAGCTCCTTCCATTTGAACGGCAGGATGATACCTATTGATTACCAGCAATATAACATTTCAAGCTGGAATTCTTCCGACTCCTCTCTTTGTAGCTTGTCCTGTATATACGATGGTGCCAAATGGATTTGGTAGATGCCAACAGTAAGATCCCTCAGAAAATGTAAGTCCAAAATTGGAAAATCGGGAACATGTTGGACATTCAAGCGTACCCATCTCTGAGCGTTACGAGTGTTCAGATGTTCAGCCTCCACAAGTGCTTGGACAACATTCACTTCATTTGCTTTCTCCAGTAATTGACGAGCCAACTCCCCATTAGCTCCTTCCATTTGAACGGCAGGATGATACCTATTGATTATTGCACCAGCAATACGGTAAAAATCACCCAAGTTAGGAAGATGGGGAATCGGTATTGACTGCTGGAAGAATTTAAAGATAGATTTGATGTGGCCATTCCTGGCCTCTACGATCCATCTCGTCTTAGTGATTATCCGTGAATCATTAGCTTCATCTGTAGAGAGTTGACTTTGTCGTGGTTCGAGAAGTGCTGGCATCCTCCACCAAATCCCAAAGCGAGTGAGTAGCTCTGTAGCATTCCGATATCCTCTATCTACTATCATTAAATCTCCTTCTTGGAACCATTCTCGCATTCTTTCAACATCCCTATGAAATTCATTCTGGAGGATCGCAGCGTCATTGTTTCGACTGTCTGAGAAATACGGACTTTGAATGTCGAGTATGTAGCCATCGGGTGCGACTATCAGCACAGATTTGAGTAAATGTCATCCTTTATGAAGACAAAATGATTGTCGGAGAGTACGAAAATTACTACTCTTAGGAACGTAGCTATAAGTACCGTCAATGTACGCGATTACACGAGGAATATGTGGTTCGGGATTGTATAATTCGTTCGCGAAATCGGTTACATGTCTTTGGACATAATCTCCTCTTGTGATTGCATCCAAACCGATGTTTGTCGGAACTTTTGTTCCGACAAACGTTGCATCAAAAAATGTCGCACAGTGGAAATGGCTAAACTCGTTGCTTGTCTGCTCGGGTACTCGAAAATAACTTTAAGAAATTCATCAGAGAGTCCTTGTCGCATTTTGCACAAGAACATTAACAAGTCTTTTTTAGAAACATATCTGTAGCCGCCTGGACAAGACACTCTATCACAATAATCAAACAGTTCCAGAAACTGCTGTTTCGTCACCGGAGAAAAGGATTCGAATTCAGCATCTGTGAAACTGTTCTCATCAACGAATCTTCTTTGATCCCTTGCCACATTTCTGAGTCCTTGGAGGAACATTTGAAGTTGCGGTCCTTTGATGACATAAGGTCTGTTTATGGACCGCAAGCCAGGTAGCAATGCCTGAAGAAAGAAACCTTGATCATCCAAATGATGTTGACATGATCTGGCATCGTCAGGAATGAAAATATCTCGCAGAACAAATACGTTCACTCTGCATTCAAGCGTAATCCTGCGGACATCAGCATCAGCATTACAAATCATACAAGTACGATTCTCAGTTTGTGTCAATACATTGAGTCGCAGGCAAGTAGGATCGCGATCCATTTCTGTTATTTCATTGCAAATAAATTGATTACAGGTGATACAAATCCTCGTAAGATCTGATCACAGCGAGAGGTGGCCTCTGGAATCCATCACGTCTATAGATGGCAATCTCGCGTTTGTTTGCTTTTTCATCTACCATCTATTCGACTCAATTGATTCGGTAAAAAATCGGTTTCTCCAAGCGGGTGACACCCGTTTGGACACGGAACGATTGGACACCGCTCGATTGGACACGCAGTATTGGACACGGAACGATTGGACACTGCACGATTGGACACCGCACGATTGGACACGCACACTGCACAATTGGACACTGCACGATTGGACACCGTACGATCGGACACTGCACGATTGGACACAGTGGGTTCCGCCCCCCTTCGGGGGGGCCCCACTATCAGAAAACTAGACACATAAGTTTGCGTTGAACCGCGCTTCGCGTGGAAAGTTGTAAACCTATGAAGAACCTTACTTCGCATTAAAAAGAATATGTGTGGAGGCTGTATGTTCCGCCCCCCCCAATCGTGCAGTGTCCAATCATGCAGTGTGCGTGTCCAATTGTGCAGTATCCAATCGTGCGGTGTCCATTAATTCTGTGTCCAATCGTGCAGTGTCCAATCGTTCCGTGTCCAATACTACGTGTCCAATCGAGCGGTGTCCAATCGTTCCGTGTCCAAACGGGATACGCCCCTCCAAGCCATAGTTAGCTATGATTGAAATACGCTAAGAAGAAAATGTTGGTATTGATTAAACCGGATTCTCAATGTTTCCTTCTGTTGATGATATACATTCAAAACATGAAGCCATCAAATAGAAATGCTTTTAATATTAACTGTGCAGGATAAGAAAAGACAAACGCTATGTACATGTGCCAGTCAGAAAATCGTAACTTTGTTTGGGATAACTCGGCCGTGACAATACAACAATGTAACAATACAAAACACAAAGTGTCTGATGTATGGTATCTTTCATAGATTCCCAAATATTGGATGTGAGAATTTTAGATGCGTTTTCAGTATTGCCTATAAAGTAGAATGATTTTCCGGCATCAACGATAGAATGATACGTCGCTATTTATCATGTAACGTAAAATAAAGCAAACCAACATAAAATAACAAAAAATAATAGAAGAAGAGAAGAGAGGGGAAAGGAAGGGGATGGGAGATAGAAAGGGGATGGGAGAGGGGAAGATAGAAAGACGAGTTGGAACAGGGTAGGGGAGGGATAAGGGAAGGAGGAATTAACTGGTGGTTGTCTACATGGTGGCGGCGACAGTCGCCTATTTCATACTTTCGAAGGTCCCTAGAGCTCAAACGGCTCAATGAATCAAGTTGGTGCAATGAGAACTTTTCATCAGGATCACGTAAACTACAAATTTCCAAAGTTTCAGCGAAATCCACCGAGGCCGGTTTTCCATAAGGTTTGTGCGGGGTCCTTTTAGCTTAATAAATTTTTAAATTATTACTTATATTTTTTTAATTTTGTTATTTAGTCCTTTAGTTGGTGACTATTTTTCATTATTCTTCTTCTTTAGTGGACTAGGCCTACGGAGGAATTCACTGAAAAAAATGCGTCAACAATAGCACCTCATAGGTGACGTGGAAACCTATTGCTAAAAATATAATAATTATAATTACGTTATTCTAATTTATGTAATGACATCATATACTGGAGATATCCAACAGTCCATAACTTAAATAATATCTTTCATAAGTATTTTGTGCTTTTAATAAAAGCGTTTTTTGTAAAACTTTAAATTTATAATTATTTATTACTTTATATATCGGGAAGAGAGTCTGCGCGCGAGACATTTAACAAATTTAATCTATCGAATATAATTTAATATTTTAGGATTATTATATCGTAAATGTAATTAATAATCGAGTATTGAAACTTTGTTCTTGAATTAATTATTTGAAAAAATTCTAGAGATCGCGTTTAAAACATTGATATTTGGCAGTAAGGGGATACGGAACCGCATCGCGGTACAGATGCACCGTACCTGAGGCAGAGCGCCGCGCGCTTGGTTACGGTTGCTAGGCGAGAATCTCAAGACGCAAGGGAGGCGCGATAGGCGTTGACTCTCAGAAATCGGCCGAAATGTGCAGATCGTGGCATGCATTGTCTTAAAGTATTAAAAATCGGTACTTTGTCTCTGCGGAGTCTATATGACGCGTTCTTATATTATATAAGTTAACTAAAAGAATTTGTTGCTTGCATGTTTTTGGTACTAAAATAATCTGTAGACAATATACTGTCGAAATATATAAGAAACTGAATTTGTTGCTCGTCTTATAGTATTAAAAATGGACACTTACGAGCGTGCGAATGCAGGCCAAAGGACCGAAAGAGCAAGACACATACAAG